TTCTCCGTATTGTATTTGACGATCTTGCTTTCTCATTTCTGTATGTTGAGGCCTATTGATGCAGGGACTGCTGCTACACTGGTTGTCTTCATCTGCATTTGTTCGTGTGTATGGGATAAAAGAGTCAGGTCATCTGTCCATTTTATTTTGTGCTTTTCCTCAAATGTCTAGGTCTTCACAATCTAATCGACGACCAGAAGAAAGAAGAAGGGTAGGAGTAAGCAACCGTGCCTGACTCTGATCTTTACTGGAAATGCATCTGTCGGCTGTCCTGCATGCATCACTCTGCAGTGTAGTCCATCGTATGAATTCCGTATAATGTTGATGATCTTCTCACGTACATCATAATGTCGAAGAAGTTTCCATAAGGTTCTCCTACCTATACTGTCAAATGCTTTCTCATAATCAAAGTAGTTGATGTATGGTGACGATTTCTATTCGACCGATGATCCGTAGTGTCGTAATTTGGTCTGTGTACGACTAAAAATAATAAGGCGGTATATATATATATATATCATAAACAACCGACTTTAGTTAGAGATTCATTGAAAACTGGGGAGCACTAAACATTTATTTTGACTTCACTTGAGATTATTCAGATTTTCGCATCAATGACTATGTCATAGTTTGAATATCTCCACAAGACCTGATAGTCTTGAGCTCAATTTTTTACCAGTTTATGATCATATATTGATAAGTAATTTTAATTTATAGTAATATATCTATCTAGTTCTCTTCAGATTTTCAATAATTATCTGGATAAATATAATCCATGATGCACATTATCTTCAAAACAAGAATACTTATTTGGAATGCAATGTTTTTCTCTGTTTTTATTTTTTTAAATAAATATATACGTTATACAAATAAAAAGCAATTGAACTATTCAGAAAGGAAGTTTCTTCAAGAAATCATTTTTTTATCTAATCTCAGTTGGGTGTTAGAATGACTTTATTAAACGTAGACGTTTATCATACAAATATTTAATGTTTTTTCAACAGTACACAGTTTGAAAGGATTGTAAATGTTTTTTCTTCTGATAACTTTAACGATAATGAAGTAGACATTCCTATAAAAAGGTGATTTCTAGATGTTTAACTTATAAAATGAAGAAGAATTTATCATTTCATGCTAAATTATTTTATTTATTTATTTAAACACAAATAATGGTACAAAGGGACACCAGATATATATGCGCTACACAAATCTCATTTGATTTGTGTGAGGGCTGTGATACTGCCCAAGTGCCCAAATCGAAGCAGGTGGCTTTCTAAGGGGACCACACCCCAAGCCTTTGACTTAAAGGTCTGATCCACAAGGCTATGGAGCATCGTGAGGAGATGCAGTCCCATAAAAATCTTTGTTATGCAACTGATAAAGAGAAAATAACCGAAAGCAAGTTTTTCAATTTTTTGTTTCTCATAACATATTAATGCTTTCCTGAGTGTAACTTATGGAAAAAATAATTCTACTCCGTCAGTTGGTTAGTACATAATAATCATTGTCAATTTTTTAAGTACCAAACACCTTTACTGAGTTCTTGCATAGCACAATTGTAACGTTACTGATTAAGATTCAATGTCACTCAAGTTCCAATCTTTGAAGTGGACACAAGTTCACTTAAGATTATAGATGTGTCTTGATGATTAACATTAATTAACGTAAAAATTAAATTCAGAACTTTTCCCCACAGTTTTTACCAATAAACAGAGTTTATTATATTATTGATATATGTGACCATATTACATCACTGGTTAAATAACATGATATTGTTTATTGTGTAATAACTGCTTTGTGAAAAGATAAGAAATATCTTATCGAACTATGAAAGCTAGAAATATTGCACATAAATATATTCACAATATATAGTTTACATTCATTTCTTCATTATATGATGATATTAGGTACAAGAAACTGGGAAAATCAAGAATCACTAAAAACACGACTATCAGAAATTATAGCTATTTGATTATAAGTATAACATTCTATCAAAAACATTTTCAGATATAAATGATTGTTATTTCAACACATTCATCCATTATAGAAAGTATGCCCTAGTACGTCCGAGATTGGGGAGAGTCCGCCCTCTCTCTCGAAATGCCCCTACATGGTCATGCGTATATAGCCTCTACTAGGGAAGTCCTATTCACTGCTTTCTCATGGCATTACTGTTGTTTACGAAATTGAAAGGATGAAAAGCCAATGTCGGGCTCTTTAACCAGGTTGGTGGACACGGGAAGTTCACCTAGGGGAGTTGGAAAACCCTGATTCCAAACCAACGGTGCACATAGGCTCTTGTATCCTGGGGCAACAAATGGCGTATGAACCAATCGTTGGTCACCGTTTACCATGGGACTGCATCTCCTTACGATGTTCCACTGTCTTGTGGATCAGACCTTTAGGTCAAAGGCTTGGGTGTGGTCCCCTAGGAACACCACCTGCTTCAGTTTGGGCACCTGGTCAGTATCACATCCCTCACACAAATCAAATGAGATTTGTGTAGCGCATATGTACCTGGTGCCTGTTTGTACCAATATTTATGTGTTTAAATATATTAATTAATACTTCAACCAAATATATGTTCTTTCGCTTTACATTCATGTAGTTTATAATGATAATTCGATGATCAACAACATTATTATAAACTATAGTTAATGAAATTTATGATTGTAATACTTTAATATGATTTGCATATATCATTATTAATTCTTTTGAAATGGTAATTTATTTCATTTCTTTTTGATCTTGTTCTACGTTGGTAGAGAAAAGAACCATGACCTATGATTAACAATTAGAGGAAATAAGAATATTCACTAAAGAACATTTGCATAGTTCTCCATATATGTACATCCTTATGTTAAGATTAGTAATTTTCAAGTTGATTAAGCATATCTATCAAATTACTTATTCTTAATATAAAGTAATATATTATCTTTCATGTCATTGAGATTACATTACATAAATTAGTTTATACATATATACATAGATACATTTTAAAATTCAGTAATATACTTACATGTACATTATCAAAGGAACTGTTCATGTGATCTAACTACATTCATGGAAATTTTTAGTTATTTTCATAATGATGAATAACTTATGATGATTTTATTTTGATTTATTATTTGATCAAATAAAATACTTTCTTATATTTGAATAGGAAATGAGATCTATTAGTATTGTTTGTTTGAATCTTCTCATTGATGTTTAAGACTACAATTGGCCGTATGTACATACTGTGTGTATTGCCTTAATTCACAAGCATTATAAGCAAAGATGGATAGTGGCTAGTGGTGGAGTCTATGACGCGCGTTTCGTCTTATTTGGGACCCGTCAGCTTGATTTACCTGTGTCTCAGAGTTGATGTTCACTTTGGAACTCGAATCCAGTCCCTTTCGCTTCAAACGCCACCGCATTATTCACTCTGAGATGCAGGTACATTCAGTTGACGAGTCCCAAATAAGACGAAACGCGCGTCCTTGATTTCACTGCTAGCCACTATCCATTCTTTGCTTATAATGAGACCAAAGTTTCATTTTGTATGTTATCATTAAATATAATATTTCATTTATGCAAACGATTGTTATGAATAATGAGTAAATGATCAGTTTACTCGGCTTAAATAATTATGTTATCTATAGTGCATTTAAATCCATGTTTATTCTAAATTTGTAATATATTTCATATCTCTGTGTAATAAAACACTTATCTTCTATGATAAAATTGAATGTATTTTCAGTTCTAAAAATTTGATTTACGTATAAATTACAGTTCTCCATATACAGTATTCACAACAATACAGTTTGTGTGTTATCTTTTTCGCTTTCTACTCCGTTGTATAGTTTTGTAAGAATGAATAGGTGTATCATACATTGTTATGAACATTTGGGGTTTCTATCGAATCCTAGCTTCTATTTTTATTAAGTGAAGTATTCACTTCATGTTATAGTTTAAGTATATTAAGTAATTTGTAATGGTTTGTATCTCCTTGTTGTTGATAATCTTTACTCCTAGTGTGATTATCAACTTTGGATTGCAGATTCGTCCAATTAACCTGTCTTAAATTGGAAGAAATGCTTATCTTGAACTCCTCTCCAAACCACCATCCGACTTTATTAAAATTGAATAAGTTGTTTTAATAACTTCTAATATAAGAATTATAACTCTCCACTTTTAACACCGTTGGCATTAAGTTTTCTAATTTCAAGTGGTAGATTTTGTAGATATTACCAAGAATACTTTCTGTTTAATTATTTATTGAAAAACACTTTATATAAAGTCACGAAATCATTATTTGTTAAACTCATTTCTCCAGGTCAAAAACAACTAAAAACCTTACCATTCATATCATAGGAATATTAGACTCTGACCTAATTTGAAATGACAGAATATTAAAAAAGAATCAAATAAAATATAAAACCACTCACTTATTTCATGAAACTGCTGTCCATACTATTTAAACGACGAGAAATCATGGTTCAATTATGTGCATAATTTATAAAAAGAATTTCACAAAATATTCAGTGTTTCTCACTAGCTTGAAACAGTTCATAAAATCACAGCAAGACAACAAATTAGTCTTAATCTATTTCTTAGGTTTTGAGTCCTCCGATGGTTGATGTTAAGAACTTCTGGCAGTCACATACTGCTCGTGACAGTGACTGATAAAGTGCAGTTTTTAAAATCAACGGTGAGAAGATTCAAACCCTAACAGATGAATAAAAATTCATCCTCCTTGCATAAGCCAGTAACTATCTGTACTCAGTAAATAAGTATATAACGCACTTAGTTTAAAGCTTGGGAAACTGGGTTAAGGTTCTTTTGTGAACATCAACACGAGTTCCGGTATACCTACCTGACGATTTCCAAATAAAGCGGAATGCTCATCCTAGATTTCACTGTTTGACAGTACGGAAATTTTCATTATGCGTTATCATAATTCATACAAAATGCTTTGATAATGTGCGACTACAATGTTTCCTCAAATTTAATTTGTCTAGCTCCTGAAGTTCTTAGTGTTAATGAAGGCAGTTCCGGTTATGGCAAAGAAGTAGACTGTTGGGCTATTGGTGTGATTGCATACATTTTGTAAGTTTTTTTTTTAATTGTTAGAGTTGCATTAAAACATTTTTTGATGATTAGTTATATATTCCCATGTTTCCAAGCAGTAAATCTTCTCCTAGTTTCAGATTAGTGATCATTGGTATTTAGTTAGCATGACATTAACTTTTTGTACAATTTTTCCTACTGATAAATATGAATAAATCAAGAACAACGAACATAACAGAATAAGGTGATTCCATTTATTTCATGGATTTTCGTCAGCTGCTTGCAATTTGGAGACAATAATAATAATAATAGTTATTTTTAACCAATGTACATACTTCTTATCATATTATTAAAGATTCGTAGAATAACAACAGCCAGCATAGAAATATTATGAAATTGTAAATTGGATATTTATGTTGTTAAGCGTGAAAACTTTAGGACACATCGAGACAAATTTCTAGGGAATGAAAATTAGCGTTAAATTTACATGATTACAAACATAAAATTTGATAGATTGACTGAGAATGATGTGTAAAGCTCAGAAAGACCCGAGAATGAAAAAGGAACCTGTTTTTGAGAGTATAAAATAAGATGTTACGTAAATGAACAATGAAAAACACAAGCTACCAGGTAGTGAGAGACTTACAACTGTTTTCTTTAAAATACATATGCTTGGTTTAAACTATTTAATTGCGATGGCTTCGACATAACGTAGTATATTCGGAATTGTTTTGGGTATTGATTATTTTCAACAATTTTAAACCATGAACACCGCATCTACTATCCAGGAAATGACGAGGAGTAGCGCTGGTGAAAATAAATTATGAATTGATCAACAATAGACCACCATTCAAAACTTGGAAGCACTAAACGACCGTTTCGTCCTAATATGGGACGCCTTAGCAGTGTACACTCACGATCTCGCCCTGTGGGATTCGAATCCAGGACCTATCAGCCTCGCGCGCAAACGCTTAAGCTATAGACGACTGAGTCGACATGTCTAACTTCAACCAATTCACGAAATTGCATCACCGTCTAGCTTCAATTGACTCATAAATTCAACCATTAAATTACTAAACTGTCTTCTGATAATTGTATATTATTTACATCAGTTTATTAAGATTCAGAAGAAAATGCTAAGCTGTTTGACCTCTGCCGTATTGTATAATTATTTTTTTTACTAAGTACTTATTTACATATAGAAATAAATTATTTGAATCTTGTGATTGTCTTATGTACATTAGATACGGTGATAACTAAGCTACGAATACTAATAAATAATGAAAACTGATTTATAAGTAGAATAAATAAACAAAACATTATTGAGGAAACTATGAACGTCTACTTAGCTTGAAACACAATTGACACAAGTCATTATTTATGAATATGAATAATTCAAGAGTCAATTAAAAAATAGATTATAATTGGTAATAATCAGTAGTAAAGTAGAAATTGCATCATGTAAATCATAGAAAAATTGTAGAGATAAAGTGAATTTTCTTGGAAAAACCATAATTATCACAAATAATAGCCCTTATCTCTGATGTAACTTAAACCCTCTCCTAACCAGGAAGCTCATTTTGTGTCACTCTTAAATTTTATTATACTTTCTTGTTGAGGCATAACATCCTTTTCAGCTGATGGACTCTGTAGGAAGAATTCCGTTAAGTTAACTGTAAAGCGTATAGTTAAATACATCTCATGTTGCGTAACTAACACCGTTCCTTAAAAGTAGTTGTTACTTTCATTAGTTCTTTGTAATTTTTTAAATACAGTTCTTAAGGCCACAGAACTTACGGATTTATCTGGCATGAATCAGAAAAGAAGCTAATCGATACTTAACTTTACTGTTTCACTATATTGATCATAAATACATCTGAGTAAATCATTGTGTTTAACTCAAAAGACGTAGTTCAGTGCTTACGAGAATTCTACAGTCTGAAGGATTTTTCGTTAAGAACACTTTGCAAGTAACATCTCTTTAAAAAAGAGTGGAACGAATAGATTTTTATCATGACAAAGACAATCATAAGATTCGTTGAAAGTGTAACTGTTGAAAATCTTGGCATAATTGTGTGTGTCTCGTTTACGTCTAATCAATTTAATTATCCGTTTTTTCGTGAAATAAACCAATTAAATCTTATTCTAATATTAGTTCACCTCTTTTCTATATTGTATCAAAATTGAACTTATACAAATTAAACTATAAAATGTTAGATTATGTGGATATCCACCTTTCTATGATGAAAATGACCATGAATTATTTCGTCAAATACGAATGGCAGAATATGAATTTGATTCACCGTATTGGGATAATATTTCTGACTCAGGTAATTCTAGAAATAGACTTTTAGTTCATTTCTTTTTTTCTTCTATTATACCTAATTAGACTATGTAAAGTAGTACTTATTAAATTCACAATACATTAAGTATTAGTAGTTTACATGAGCAAGGAAAGGAAAACAATGCCGTAGTTCTTCAAAGTTAGGATGTTTATTGTGACTACAATTTTTAGATGGGCAGATTACTATAACGTTTGCTCAATCAAGACAAAAAAAGGCGATTGTGTCAGATAAACATCAGATTTCGTAGTTTGACACTTTCTTTGTACTTTATCATACCTATATTTGTTTGTTCTCACTCGAACATCGTTTATCCAGCAGTTTATTTTTCATAAACAAGATGAATGCATCAATATACAGACAGTCTGTAGATAGCATTCAAATGTCTATAATATGAACTAACTGTGCAGTAATGTACAACGTAAAATGAAGTTACACACAATTTTCGCAATCATTTTTGCACGACCATCCAATCTAATGGAATTTTTGTCGAAACATACAGTAGTCTATTGTCAGTTTAGAATCAAACTGATCTAGTACACAGTTCCACGCTCTTATTGATTGATTGTGAATTTAGTTCATTATATAAATTCTAATTCAAACAGTAGCAAACTTTCAAAAGTCTGAAACAAACATGTTAAACAGGTGAATCTAGCTTTTGAGTAATAAAAATATACAAATGGGATATTACTTAACTAACAGTTGCAAAATTGAATAACAAATCTGAATTAAAAAAGAACAATGGTCTTTGCTGAATAATAAAAATTCATTCGTCTCGTAGGTACTCCTCAGCTGCTTACAGCCTAGCAACAGTAGCATTAATCAATAAATTTACATACTTTGTATTAGACAAGTATTAAATAAAATTGAGTTTGAGATGTAATTATGAAGCTACAAGACAAAATAATTGTGAAAGACTTAATAACTGTTTAAACATGTGCTTATTTATAGCTTAAATACATGAATAATCCAAAGGAAAAAAACTAAAGAGACCATGGAAATAAAATTTCTCAATTCGAAGATTTTTGTCATAGTTTACTCAATACTTGAAAATTAACTAAGTCAAATGAAAAACAAAAAATAATGATTAAGATCATGGAAAAAGATATTATGTAACGAACTCATTTAAACGAGATCACCAAGGTTGTACAAGACTACTAACTATATTTCTTCGTATACACAAATTTAGTGTAGATCTATTTATTGCAAAGGCTTCAGCAAAGTGTAATAAGTTTGAAAGGGTTGGTTTACTGGCTATTCTAAGAGATTTAAAAGGTCATCATCATATTCACTGCTGAGAAAGTGACAAGAGCTTACTTTAATGAAAACATTGTGTATTTTTAGTCTGTTCTCTTGTGGAATGTCTTCAGAGGTTTGGACACTTAACTTCATGTTATGACTTGTGTCCTGTCAATGTATAACGTGACGATGCCGCCAATTAGAGTACAGTGTTTTATCGATCAGATCAATGACACATGAAACCTGTACGAGCAATCTGGGGTACTTATCGGTCCTTCTCCCTGCGTAGCCCAGCCAGTTAAGTTCAGAACACCAATAACAACATCTGCAATATGAATCATTATTCTCAAACATACTGGGTATATATACCAAACAGACAAACCACATCGTACCATAAATTATAAAACAACATTTGTAAAGGAGTTAGCCAAATGTAGCTATGAATGTGGGGAACAGTAATTAATAGACTGGGCATAACTCAGGAATGGTAAATCATACAGTAATAATCCATGGGTCAAAATAAAACTCATATTAAGGGGGACATGAATATGAATAGTTTAGTTATTTAACAATTATACGATAAAAATATACGCATAGTATTTGTGCATAAATAGATCCGAAAATATACCATTCATTATTCTTATCGGGATATAACACTTCATTTCTGTCCTTTCAATTTCTGTACTTGTATACTGATAGGTAGAATAGAGGTAACATAAGTCGAGAATTCATCCACAATTAAATATCGTACTGAGCACTTTATTTTATACAGAAAAACAATCTCGGCCGTCCATTTTATTATTTCCCTAATTGAAAAAGTCAATCAATTTCTCCACTCTTGAAGCCAAGATTTGGAATGATAAGTATCTTTGTTTTGAACGATAGCATAATCCAATTCTTTTCCTATAACTTTGCCTACATTTTGTTGTCACACAAAATAATATCTAACTCTGGCTAATTCTCCCTCACTTCTATCTTCAGAACATAGTCTGCTAGCAAGTTTACCATTCAACTGACTTATCAATTAACATAACGCTTAACAGATATCTTCTGGACTTCATGAAAAAAACAAGTTTTAATTCTTTTTGTTTTTCAGCCAAAGATTTTATTAGTCATCTACTCCAAAAGGATCCAAAAAAGCGTTATAGTTGTGTACAAGCTTTAGAACATCCATGGATAGCTAGTAATACAGCACTTGATAGGGATCTTTATCCTTTTGTCAGTGAACAGATACGTAAAAATTTCTTAGCAGTAAAACGATGGAAAGTAAGTCTTCGATTTTCTATTATAAAGTAAACTTTAATTTCGTCATATATATTTTGATAAATAACAACACTTTAAGTATTTTCGGTTTATTTATATTCACGCTTGATTTATTAAGGGTTTTTAGTAAAGTAAACAGCATTATGTTTTTGATTGTTTGCTTCAGGGATAAACATTACGAATAATTACCAATTAACATAAAATCTAGGGTCAGAACTTAATTGATCTTTGCATGAAACCAACTAACATCAAAACTTACTTCATTAAATGAAGAGCAACGTGATTATAATGCTTCATATTAAGAAGTTAAGTGAATATTTGTGAAAGCGACTATATCTTTCTTTTTTTTAGATTTTTTTTATTTCGAATGTGAAACTCCTTGTTACTGTGTCATCTACATACTATGAGGTTCTGATTTTATAAAGTTGAAATATGTCTATACGTTTCTAGCTTGACAAATTACCTATGAAATCATAATTAGAAATTTTGCAACATAAATTAATCATGACCAATTAATTACTTGATCACTGTTATGTAATCCTAAGCAACGAATTCATCTGTTTACCACTTAGGTGCATTTATTAACATAAATTGACAGCGTTTGATACCAACATTGTATTTAATTTGCATAGCATAACTAAACATAGCACGGTATATTTTAAATGATCGTTTTTTTGGTACGATTATCATTTATGAACAGGAAAGCTATAGAACATTTTCAAATTCCATTTTAGATACCTTCATTGACTTTCGAATCTTAGTTCAGCCTCTCTGAGGCATCGGCTAAATATCGATCGCTGTATGCCTGATAACTAGAGATTATATTGTTTGAAGAAACAGTTTCCTCATTTATGTCTTCTTTCGGTTGATTACTTATCCATTTATCTAACTGACGATAAATATTATTTATTTTATTTTATTTAAACACATAAATATTGGTACAAACGGGCACCAAATATATATGTGCGCCAAACAAATCTCATTTGATTTATGTGGGGGCTGTGATACTGACTAGGTGCCCAAACCAAAACAGGTGGTTTTCTTAGGGAACCACACCCGGAGCCTTTGTCCTAAAGTTCTGATCCACAAGGCGGTGGGGCATCGTATTGTGATTCAGTCCCATGGTAGCCGGTGACCAACGATTGATTCATACACCAATTGTTTCCTCAGGATACTGAAGCCCATGTGCACCATTGGTTTGGAATCAGGGTTTTCCAACTCCCCTAGGTGAACTTTCCGTGTCCACCAACCCGATTAAAGCATCGGACATTCACTTTTCGTCTTGTTAATTTCGTAAACAACAGTAATTCCGTGAGAAGGCAGTGAGTAGGACTAGTATTAGGCCAAATTAAAAAAACTGTTCAGTATGCAGATTCTTACCATTTATCTATCAAACCTGTTCACAAATTTGAAGATGATCTTTTTTTATCTACTAATGACTTTTAATACAACTTTGTGTAGCGTTCATTTTCTACATTGTTTATTTCGAAAATCGATTCATAGTAATTAGCTCTATTCAATACATCAGTTATAATGATGTTTTATTGGTTTATAGAAAAAATTCTACTTTAATTATTGAACAAGTTTTGTGCATATCTATATTCATTTTTATTTGAATTTCATCTAGAAAGCTTATAATGCAACAACAGTACTTCATTTATTACGTCGTCTTCAATTAAATAAAAGTAATTCAACAGTAGAAAAATCAACTAATTCCGCTGATTCTTTATCTACATTCACATTTGATGAAGATAAACTAACAGAAATACAATGTCAACAATTAAAATCAATTTCTATTGATAAACAAGATAAATTACCACCTAAATTACAAACATCTAGTTCATCACCATCATCATTATCTTCACCAACTCATCCTTCTGAAATTAAACCATTTTCATTTAACAATGTAACTAATGAAATTGAAAATATTGAAAAAAATGATAACAATACAACTTAATATGAATTATATTTAAATCCTAATAAATAATGATTATGAATTATTTTAATTGAAATAATAGTTAGAAGTATGATTATGAAACTCTTTGGGAATCAATGTTCTCAATCATAAATTTAAAAAAAAAAAGAATCTTTTTATGTAAATATGTTTATTTGTGGTGAGAATATTTGTGAGGTCCTAGTTACATTTTCTTTTAACTTCTTTGTCTTGAGTAACATTTGTTTTCCTCTTTTTTTCCTTATTTTATAATTACATTGTATCTTTACATTTTTAATCATATATACATATACATATATATGTATGTATAGTTCCTCAGCTTACATCATCATTGAAATGAATTATTACTTTAATTGATTTTTTTTAATACCTATTCATTTCTATTTCATTCCTGCTGAGGAACAAATATATATATATATATCCTACAAAGAACTTGTAAAACTAATTTAAAATTCCATTTGTTAATTCACATTTCATTGGAATATCTTTCCATTTTTGTTTTTCTAAAGTCAAATTAGCACATTACACAAATGGCGCCATTTTATTCTTATTATTAAATGAACACATATACACTTTCTTACAATGACTTGAAAGAGAAGAAACTAGACATAAAAAAATTTGGAGGACAATTAGTTAATATTACTGTGGAATACAGTTAACCGTTTACTGCTTAAACGTTCCAACCACATCTAGATCTATCTATCTATATATATGCATATAACAGATATTTATTTATCTACTTTGTTTTTGGTTTTTTATTAATACTATATCTAAATAAAACGTTATGTTGTTTCTTTTTGCCTTCATTTTTAAAATAAGAAATTTTGAATATATATAAAATGGGAAATTGTTTATTCCAATTAACGATTTATTTTCATCATAATTCATTTCTGTTTATTTATTAACACTTCGATTGTTTTCATTATAATTTTTATTCCCCATTTGAACGTATTCATAAATAGTTTATAATAATAATAATAATAATCAAATCAATAAATGAATTGCAGCCTTCTTGTTGTTACCAAGGAATAATAATAACAACGACAACAACAATGATGGTAATAATAATAATGAATCGTGTTACGTTTTCTTTTGACAATTACTATTCATCTTATGCTTTTTTTTCTTTTCATTCACTCATTTTATTTGTCATTTAGGTTGAATTCATTCACTTATCAATGATTATTATTACTATTGTTTGTTTTCATTGAAATGAATTGTTTCCATAAGGAAATGAGAAGAAAAATAAAAAAACCCCACGAAATAAACGATCGATAATTAAATATCATTGTTTTTTTTCCCTTTATTTTTTTGTTTGTTTGATATTTGAAGTCAACAACGCTTTTATCATTGTTTAAATTGTTTTTAGTAGATATACATATATCAATGGTAAATATGAAGATAAATGGATCATATACATGATTGGTTTATTTAGTTTATTAAGGTGGTTTACTGATGAGAAGAAAATTGTTTTATCTCAAATGTTTGTTTTATTCACACGAGTGGTGTGACAAAAAGAAAACACCTAAAAACTAGTATTCACAGAAGAAAAACAATATACTGGTTTTTAGTTTGGAATTCATTTAGAATGTATACACATTTAAATTTAGAACTAATCAAATCGATAGATATTTGATTTGTATTAACTAGAACTTAACGGGTTTTTATAATGAATGTGAGTATTGAAGTTGAGTGATAACCCCATAAATATGAAAAAAACAACACCCTAAAGTTACATTTCATTTGGTTCTTTCTAAATACGTTAATTAAACATGGTAGAATCTGTGACAAGACTATAATTTATGGACAAACTAATCAGATTTAGGATAACAGGTTCTGGATTTTGGCGCGAAGTTCTTTCACCCATTTAGCCGAATAGCGTCTTGGCATTTTAGCTGATGTTAGTTCGTGATGAAAAAATCCTAACTCTAATTCTTAACCTTAACCATCAACTGTGAATCATAATCTTTATTCTTCTAACTGCTTTATAACCCTCATTTAGTCGTAGTAAGTAGGTAAACACTCCTAAGATCTCTTTGACGTTGCTCAAAGGTTGTCCATAAATCATAGTCTTACCGAAAATGTTTTTTTATCAAGAAAGTAACAAAAAGATAACATTTTACAAAGTTCTATCACTTAAATATTAGATCACAGAAATAGATCTATTTTTTATTCATAAACTGATTAGCTGCTTCCATTGTTTGTTTCGTTTGTATGTCCACATGTATGTATATATTATCTTCTTTATCACTTAAAACATTCTTTTAAATGACTGACGGGATGAAATCCTTCTAAATATTGTTTTACAATACAACGATAAGCGGCGAATTTTCTCATCAGAGATCCTTTCATCTTTTCGTCTTTTTATACAATTAAAAAATGTAGAAAAATGTTCTAAGTAGAAGTAAACTCAATCTAAGTAACAAAAATGTCTCACATCATTGTTTCTAGGTGCTCACTTTTTATTTTGGATACTGTTATGCTAAATAACACTTAATACTTCTCAAAAAATGAACCATTTTGTTTTCAGTATACAAGTTTCTAATTTATTTTTTCTAAAGTAGTTGTAATTAAATATATACAGGTTATAGCAATTCTCCTACAATCAATTTCGATCATGGTTAAATTTTGATTAAGCTCTTTAATTAACATATTTAACAGACAATGTTATTAGAGCAGTAACGATTTGCATATTTCTTTGTACTACTTATGGTCACAACCATATCTGTATAAACATGTACGATCGATCACATGACAGACTCTAGCTAAAATGTTCGCCTAAATATCTCTCGTGGAATCATTCTCTTCCCCATGTATATAGACTCGAATCCTATTATATTAGCCTTTGTTTTGCCCAGCTGCGCATTATTCGATTTGCATATAAATTTGCCTCCGTATTTTCTCGCACGTACACTCGCCTCTCTGCCTCAAATTAGCTCGATGTGGTTATAACTTTGTTGTCCGTGCTGTCGGTTAATAAACCGTAGTTGCCTTCTGATTTCAAACACCGTTGAGATTTATATAATAACGGTTACAAATGTGGTTGATTAACGAAGCAAAGCTACTACAAGATAATGAAGTGACACACGATTATTTTATCAGGATCGTCTATCCTTATGTGATTGTGTTGTTCAGTTTCAAAGAACTACAAAAGTAATTCCAAATTACAATCAACTGACATCAGCTGATTGCTACCGAATTCAATGGATTTACTATTGGGAACTAAGTTCCTGTTGCTGAACTGATATGTGAGTAGTTCCCTTACGTAAATTTGTTTATTTGTTTAAACACATAAACATTAGTACAATGAGGCACCAAATAGATATGCGCCACTTAAATCATTCGATTTGTGTGAGGGCTGGGATACTGCCCGGGTGCCCAGACCGAAGGAGGTAAAGCTTTAAAAATACCGACATGAGTAAAACAAAACATCAGTACAAAGTATTAGTACTAATATATCAACACGTTGAACCAAAAAATCAGTTTTCTGAGCTCCGTTTCTCAGTGCACACTATCGAGGAATCTCAAAGTTGAACGAAATAACTGTCTTCTTACTTTAGGATATTTATTTGTTGTCTATCTGACATCAGTTAGGAGTAAAATTTAACTTCTCCATGCACAGTTGTCTAAATAACATAACTTCACTAAATAATTGGTGGTTGGGTGTTCTCAATACTCTCCCTTTAGTTTATGACTATGGAACAGTTACACTGGGCTTAGGTTTGAATTCCCCTCCACACATCTCGGGTTTCGGCGATCGGGCATTATCCATATTCTTCTAACATCATTGTTCAAAGGGAAGTATAAAATTTTTGTACTTAGTAAATGAGTGAACAGCTGGGATTTCATCATTTTGCCGCATTGATCTTGTCATTGCTGCTGTATCATTTCGAGATAAATTATTATTATTAGTGGCTTTATTCGATATTACATTCTTGGCACATTATAGAATTCTTAGCACAAAGTATTTCAACAAATTTCCTTTTCTTATTTATTGTTCGATCGTGACGATAAATATTGAGTGGTCACCAATTAGATGTTAACAGTTCAGGAATTAAAATCTGAATAATGTAGATCCTGTTGTCGATGTATATTGCCAGCAACCACGATGTCTCTGATTGTTTTTTTCTAACATATACAACGAAATGTCGTGAACTCTTCTCAAACGCACCCTAATAGTTTGCGCAAGTAATTGATATAATGGTCTGTTGAAACAAACAAAAGGCAGAAAAATTGTTGAAGTACCAGATTGTAGAAACAGGTAGCCCAGATGTTCAAGCAAGTCACCTTTTCGAAGTTGAATTACTTCTCCGCCACACGGAACTGTTAATAACTTTTAATGAGGTTCAATTCTTCACACCTCTTCATCTTATTCAATAATTGTATTTTCTTATTCCTAGTTGGGGACGTCCTATTTTGTATTTCCCTGTACTGACCGAATCCTTTGGATAAACTAACAGCTGGTCACTTTCTAACAAGATACCTTGAAAGTGTATTATGTCATGCTGTGCCATTGTTTCAATTTAGATAGGAAGCTTCCATATATCTTACATGTCTGGTAATGTCATTTAGTACATACGCTTATCAGTTAACATAACTTATATACATTCTCACATGTAAACTTCAAACTTTCATGAATTATATAGACTAAACTTATTCACCAGGTCTACATATCCTCACATATGAAACGGGATGTGAATTCAATCCCTCTAGTAATCCTTCACAAATAGTTTATTTTGTTAACTTTATTCATGAAATTAACTAAGCTGACTTAATCAAATCTGAAGTTGACCGAATTCCTGAACAAAAGTGTTCAGGAGTTTCTCTCAGCTTTAAAAAATATCTATATTTTAATGGAAATGAATCAATCAGTAAGACAGTGCAAACAAGCCAATATACAAAGTGACCTTGATAAAATGACTGTTGTCTTTACGAAGTGAAATATATGGTTAAATAAAAGTGAATATTGTGTAACCCTGGGTTGTACATTTACCTTATTTGCGTATTTACATTACAGACCGATCTTAGATCGCCATCGACAACCAGAAATCTCAGGACATTTGTTTGATCCTAGTATGGGACTCCTTGGCAGTGTGCATCTATGACTGAAAGAGTTGAATCAAGTGCATTCAATCTCAAATGAGGACTTTCAACCTCTAAACTAGTGAGGCACAATTCAATGACAAACACGTCTAACTTCACTCAAACTGTTCAATCGTTATACTGGTATAACTTGTTGCTTTTAAAGCACTAGTTATTGTAATTTTTAAATATAATATGAATCAATCTAGCAATCTGAACATTGAAAATCGATTTTTCAACATTCAGAAATGTCACTTTCCTTTGTTCACTTTTCTTAGGTAAGAGGTACTTGTTCACGTTTTACAAATATTGCCATATGTTATAACGTGTAGGTGCGTGCGTGCCCTGTTTGATATATGAACGTGCTAATTCCCGCCAATCGGAGAGCTGTGAATTATCGATCAGAGCTATGATACGCAAAAGCCGTATGAGCAGTCGTGATTACTTATCAGTCCTGCTTTCTGCCTAGCCCAGTCAGTTAAATCCAGAACACCAATAACAGCCTCTACAATATGAATAATTATTCTCAAACATACTGGGTTTATATGCCAATCAAACTGACCACATCGTATCATAAAATGGAAAATAACATTTGTACAAGATTCAGCCAAATGTGGCTGTGAATGCGGGAAACAGTAATCAATAGACTGGGTATAACTCCAGAATGGTAAATCTTATAATAATAGTTCACAGGTCAAAATAATGCTTATAATAAAACGAACATGAATATGAATAGTTTAGTTACTTAACAATTATACAACAGGAAATATACATATCACATTGTTCCGTAAATATTTCGCAGAGTTACCATTCATAATTCTCCACGGGATATAACACCATATTGATTTTACTATATCATTTGGCAGTTCTTTCATAAAAGTTAACAGATTATTATTGTTATTATTTCAAATGAATTGATTTTCATTCTTATCTCAGTCCCTTATTGACTTTATTTTATTTATTTATTCTAATTGATATAAAATAAAATGTAACATTAATTTTTATATTATTGATGAGATAACCTGTCTCGTTCGTTGTAACTAAGAGAAATATTTTAATTCGTGTAATAACTTAGTGAACATGTTTTGTTTATTTCCATCAAAATTTATATTTTAAGTGTAAATTTATTTCTTTTTGTTGTTTTTCAATTAAAACTTTTGATAATGACTATAGATTTCAATTCATTTTTATTGGTTGTTTGAGTCTTCTCATTGATAATATTCATTACGGGATTCCAACTCAGGACCGTTCGCTCCAAACACCATCGCATTATCCGCCTAACTGTTGAATCCAGACAGCCACTGACTTGTGAAATAGGATGATGTTTAGTGAGACTATAATTTATGGACGACCGTTGAACAAATCTTAGTGACCTTGAAAAGTATTAGCCAATCAGTAAA